CAGCAGCAGCAGCAGCATCGCCAACAACACAAACAACAATTACAAAAGCATCAAACAAGAACTTCACAATTAAGAAAACAAAAGGATGAACATTAACAAGAACTTCTGTAGGAAAAAAACAAAAACAAAATGTATACAACAGCAGCAGCAGCAGCATCAGCAATAACTACAACAACAACAACGATTAACAACAAGAACAACAAGATCTCCCGTAAAAACAAATGCATGCAATCTTAATATGACACATATTTATGTACAGCCCCACTCCTTCTCACCCCCACCCCCCTCCCCCGGCCCGACCCCACCCTTGGAAAAAGAGGAAGAGACAAAACAAACAACCTAATCAATTTTTTGACGAAAAACAAGCAAAGGTATACTAGGAGAAACAAAAAACGTCGCCATTTCTTTTGCCGGCATTTTTTTTTCTTTCTTTTCATACTAACTACACACGTTACTGTTTACTGCAGTGATCACGAGCCAAGCAAACACACGAATCATTATTTATTATTTCTGTACGAGAAGTATACAGGTGTAGATAATGATCACCTGGTCACTTCACACGATGCCCAACCTAAAAGGAGGACACCTTCCCGCTGACAGTAAACCAAGAAAGCGTGTCTTCGAAATGCCTTGATTTATATTCAGTAGGACGTTTAGCCTAACTAAAGAAAAAAAAAACTACAGTGCTCCCCCCCCCCCCCTCCTCACACACACATACCCACACAATTTTAAATTGAAAAAAACAACAACTCATTAATGAATACTCAAATAATTAGGTCCTTTTGAACACCTTTGCAGAGTGCTGAGCCCACTATTTCGGAACTTCACATTGACCGTAAAGATGGTTCCAGTAGGAAACGGGATAAAGGGTGCCCATGTCCCTCGTGACTCATTGGAGCAAAGGAAGATAGGACTTACGCTAACATTGCTTAAACGCAATCCCTTTTCATCACTCATCACCACCATTATATCTAAAATCATCACCGCTCTCAGATCCATGACTTACATCAGCTATAATCATGGAATCTCTATCTGCTATTACAGTTACTAGTTAAACTAAGTATGCACGTAATACACTATTGGACACTATCATATGCACTTTTTTCTACTAATCAAATGGCGTCAGTTTCATATAAATGGGCCAGGAAAACTCTCTGAGAATAAGGGACACGACTACGTAATGGTAAGCAAACACGGTCTGTACTGCTAGGTGTAATGATGAGTGAAGGATCAACTGAGATGTCCTGTGCTTCTCCCCTCCCCTTACCCCGCCCTTTACCCGGGGGGGGGGGGGGTACTTGGAAACAGATTGATAAATAATTGACGAAGAAAAGTAAGATCAGTGGCGTCGGTGGCCTTGTGGTTAGGTTCTCAGACTCGCAACAATAAGGTTGTGGGTTCGAATCACATCAGGGGCCCAACGTTGCGTCCTTTAGTCCTTGGGAAAGGCACTTTACACGAACTTTCCTCACTTCACCGAGGTGGGATGGGTACCCAGCTATAGACAGTGAAAGATCTTGTCAGCTTGTTAGTGTTTGAGCGCATAACCAGCAGCTTGCACTGTATGCTTCCCAGGAAGCTGAGAATGTTTCTGAGTGTTCTTTGGTCTATTGGGGTAATTATATTGTATAATGCGCATAGACCTTGCTGTTGAGCGGGAACATGTGCTATACAGATGCTATTTAGCTTAGTAGTAGTAGTAGTAGTAGTAGTAGTAGTAGTAGTAGTAGTAGTAGTAGTAGTAGTAGTAGTAGTAGTAGTAGTAGTAGTATCATTAAGATCTACTTAGGGAACTTTCCTGACTTTCAACAAATCACCCCACCCTGCCCATGGGTGGCTACAGGACACAGCTGGTAGACTAGGTCTTGTCTTCTGTTCTTTTCCTCTGGTGTTTCTGCCCAGCCCCTGTAATGCATTGAATGGCCTCTTTTATGTCAATGTACTCGCCACGCCTATAGCCCTACCCCCCCCCCCCCCCCGAAAAAAGATAAAAAGAAAAGGAAGGGGGATTACGAATCATATGCAAATGTAGAAACATAAAACAAATCAAATCCAAGACCTTCTTTTAAACAAAAGATGCAGACAAAGCAAATAAACAAACAAAACAAAAACAAAAACACAAGACAGCAGCAACAAAAAAACAACAAACAATCGAAACATATACGGTACAAGGAAAAAATGCAAGCCATCAAAACCGAACAAAATTATATCATGGATAAAGGTCAGCCGTGACAGGCGTGCATGCGCCGGTCAGTTCCCGCGCACATCGCCTATGGTAGAACTCTCTAACTAGACCAACCGTGCCATGAATCTTTCACGAGCACTTGGTATCGATTTTCCAAGAGTTCTTCTGTTTTCATTCACTCAGTGGTTCGACTGTCGCAGCAGACCGTTTCACCCGTGAAGTGAAGAGCGGGGGGTCTAACATAAACTCGAATGAATAAATACCAGTAAATCGAAAAATCGATCAACCTGACAATCTATCAGTCCGTCAATAAACCAATCAATCATATCAACCTAGTCAACCAAACCTGTGGCCAAACTAAAAGACTATAATTTTATAATCGCTTCATTAAAAACAGTAAATGAGAGAGAGAGAGAGGGAGAGAGAGAGAGGGAGAGAGAGAGAGAGAGAGAGAGAGAGAGAGAGAGAGAGGGGGGGGATGGAGAGGGAGGGAGAGACAGACAAGACATACAGACAGCTGACAGACAAAGAGATGTAGTGAGAGAGCGAGAGGGAGAGAGAAAGAGAGAGAGAGAGAGAGAGAGAGAGAGAGAGAGAGAGAGAGAGAGAGAGAGAGAGAGAGAGAGAGAGTCATTAACATTTAAAGTGCTACGCTACGGTATAGCCAAAATATACCCATGTGTTTAAAACCGAAAGTTTAGCATCTACTTGACCGTCTCGACCACCCTCAAAACATAGAAAAAGGTCAGCAGCAGCTACTGCAACAGCAGCATTAGCAGGAGCTCCAGCAATGATCAGCGGTATTAATTTATTGTGGTGATCAACTTCGAAAAGACCCCAATCCTACTTTGCATCTAGTGTGGTAGTAAACTCAAACAATTAATGAAAAAAAAAGGACTTGAGGCAAATAGACAAAACGATGGTTTTGCATACAATGTAAGTTAAGAAGGAAACCGTTTCTTTTGTGGGGGTTGAAAGTGGAATTCTGCTTTGACCACTGTGGGACTCCGTGGGCGTCCTGTAAAACACGCGTTTGGCATACACCAAAGAAAATAGGAAATATTAATTGAGTATTCTCGTCATGCAAAAAAGCTAAAATTGCAATCGAGAGGGTGGGGTGTGGGAGATTCCCCGCTGCTGCCTGTGCTCTATTTCTATTTTAAGCTTGACCTAGAATCCCCATCCGCCGGCGACAATTTGATTGGCCAACGAAAGTGGGGCTCCAACGTGTCTAAATAGCACAGCGCGTATGGATATTTTCTACAAACATTTGAATTATTCAGTTTTACACAGTTTCCGTATTTCAGATCTTCAAACAATGCAATCTCTTCTTCCTTTGTAGATGTAGAGAGAAATTGTAATAGAAAGATATAAAAACATATTCATTTGAGAGTAAATAGAAATGACAGGGAGTACTTTGTGCGGAAGACTGTGTCCACTCCGTCATCGTGATCAGTCAGCTGGGAAAAGTAGAGCAACAGCTAGATTCTAGCTTGAGAGTTTCAGTAAGCGGAAGAGGCAAGGCCTGAACCGACCTTTTGTGTATCTCGTGTTCTGCGGCTGACGGCTATCCCTTGAGGTTTTTTGGTTTTCTGTACCAGACCTCAGGGACACAACGACCATGGACTTTCTCTACGGACACGATAGAAAACTTGGTTACCTTGAAGATGAAACAGATATGGTGGATTTTTTAGACTCTAGTGACATTTTCCACACCCCATTGGTAAGTACGCATGCCGACTGCTATAAACTGTGTGAAGAAAACGAACCAGGTTCCCATATGTTTCTCTTCTTTCGACAACCTGTTAGCTTTCTCCCTTTTTTCTGGGTTGTACATTGTTTTGCTGTTGTAATTTCCAGTTGTAGTTCTATTATGGTGCATGCAAAGGTGATTTTATCGTTCTCTATCAATAACTGGTCTGTTATCTTTTACGTCCCCACTTTCGCAATGCTCTCAACACATGGTTGAGTTTGACGCAAGCCCGTGCGTGGGTAACGCCCATTTGCCTGAACCAAGCTCTACTAGGCCTTTGAATAGGCCTAGATGGCGGCCCGCAAGCCGCAAAGTTCCTTTTCCTCGAGGGTCTTCGTTAAGTTTGGGTTATAGATCTAAATCTATCTAGATCAATAACTGAATTATAATTTAAAATCAAGTATTTAGATCTAGATCTATATCAACAAGAAACAGTTTTGTTATTGTTTTCATGTTTCTCTGTACGTCAACCCCGGCCGAGGTTTTAGACAATTGAAAGCCGTTTTTGATCTGAATAGACTAGATCTAGATATCTAGAGTTGATTGAGTGCGGTGGTACGCAATGGGATTTGAACTGGATCACAGATTATTATCCAGATGTCGTTATCATAGTCCAGGTTTCATCTAATTCGAGATTTTTCTTGATTTATTTTCTTAATTGCTTTTTGAGAGCACATGGGCATTCAGCATCTGGAAAAATAAAACTGGAATAAATAAATGAAATGAAGTCTGATAAAAATATATAAGCAGTCCTTCCTCATCCATGTTTCAAGTTGAATCCTTAAAAGTGGCTAAGATTGTATGCTGACATAATTATAAACAGGCGTATAACTATAATGCATTCTCTCTGCTCAGTTTAGTCTACTTGTTTTAAGGTTTGCTTGAACCCACCCTTCGCTTTCTCTGACTGGTATCAGCTTGATAGTATGTGTGCGAGTATGCTTTTTTGAAGTCCTACAATATAAAATGTTGGCCTAACTAGTACTATAGTAGTACATTGGAAATTAAAATTTTGTGCATCTTAAGCAGGTGGACGTCAGACAAAATGTCTTTGTAATGTACAAAAAAACACAAGAAAGCAAATGGGAAGTGGCTGTTTGTACAGGTGATGTCTTACAAGTGGTGGCATTTAGAACAGGTTTGGCTGTATTTCAATTTCGTCTAATGCCATCATAGGCACCACCAGCTTTTCACTGCAGAACTGAATCCAGTACTCCCTCAAACATAAAATTGATTTTACTGAACAATTTGCTGCCTGCTTTCATACATGATTAAATGTTAACTGAGTGTCATGTAAGTGTTGCTATGTGGATGAACGTGTCTCATTTTAAGACTTAATTTTGATTAACAAAAAGAGGCAAGACTGCAGTAGGCTGTTCTGCTTGACAGGTTATATCTTTTTTCTGTACTGTGTGCTGACAATTCTTCTATGTTTTGTCTTTTTCTCCTGCCTTCCTTATTTTTGTTAATCTGATAATAAAAGTCAATGGGAAGAATAATGTGGTGCAATAGTGTTAATTACCCCCCCCCCCCACCCCCTGTTTGTTTTGTTTTGTTTCTGTTTTCTATCTTGCACCAGGTATAGAATTATTTTCAATTTTTGATAACTTAAAACGTGTTAGTAAATCAAATTTCAAAGTGATCTGAAAGAGAAGGAAATTGAAATATTCTGTTCTGTGTGACTTGGTACAGAAAACTTTGTTCTGAACTGTTCTTATGAGCCTTGGTGACCGAGTGTTGTCCCACTCCCTTCACAACTCCCAAACTTCATGATACCATTCTATTGTTCCCATTCATGGTCTGACACTTCTGAAGTTCCACTGTGTTGGAGAGAGCAGAACTCATCTTATTTTCTCCCCAGCTACCTGGTGGTGATGTAACAGATAAGGCTTTCAGTGCTGAAGCTAAATTTGTTCCCTATTATCTACTCTTTGTATAGCCTGCAGGGATTTCAGTTTATCACTACCCTCTACTCAAAAGCGAAAGAAGCCTGTGGTGTCCCAAAATAGTCTGTTGTATGGAGATTGTCCTTAATAAGAGCTGGCTCTGACGATGACTTTGTGAGATACTCCTATCTCCTACAGATCGGTCTCGTAAAAGAAATTGGAACATTTCGTCAGCTTATTTTTGCTTTTTGCCTCTTTTCACATAATTTTCAGGTTTAAATAGTTCAATAACAAGACATAATCTCCTTTCTAGTCCCCAAAACATTCTTTGTAAAATGTGACTATTTTAAAGTAAAAAGTAAAACTCCGAATTTTTAAATTATATAACAATTTTGTTGTTGTGAAAAAGAGAACAGAGTTGATACTGTGTTTTACACATAGAATCGATGAAATGTGGTCTATGGGTTAAAAAGGAAATTATCTTATATATCTGTATATCATCATCATCATCTAGTGCCAGATCTGCGACAGACATCGGCGATCATGATTTTCCATTCATTCCTTTGCTCGGATGCTCTCAGAAAAGCTACGTTTCCATCTTTCCCTGTTACCCATTTGTTTAGGTTCCCTAAGTATGTTGTATATATATATATATATATATAGGGGCTCTCGTGGCCTAGAGGTTACGGTGTTGGCCTCTCATTCAAAGGTCCCGGGTTCGAATCCGGGTAGCGACCGAAAAATTTTCTTCTCTAAAATTGTCTCCTTTCACCTCCTTTCCTGCTCTCTAGCTATGTTCTGTCGTCTGCTTTCATTTCCACTTTCTGCCCTCACCCCCTCACCTCCTTGGCCCCCTCCTTTGGGCTCCTGGCTCTTTCTGCAGCCTTTCTACTGCTACTCTCTGGCTCCTTCTTACTGCTGTTTTTCTGCCACACCCCTGATCTTCTGGTAGGAAAGATCTACACCTAGCTTCTCGGACAAGGGCAAAAAATTTCGGAGGGCCCCTGTGCAAGTTGCATACGTTATAGATCCCTTGGTGGTCTAAAAATCGATAAGAGTAGGCTTCGGCCGCCACCTGGGCAAAATTCAAATTTCCTGCCAACTGAAAATATTAGGTGTGTTCCGCGCGCTCATATGACCTTATGCAGTTGCGAGCGCCGTAAAACACTTTACAAAAAAAAATAAAAATAATATATATATTGTTTATTATAGATATTATAAATACATTTATTTTATGAACTGTGTCCAATAGAGTATGGAATAAAATGATATAAACTGACTTTGATAATAGCTCAATGTGATGGAAGAGGAGTGCTGTTTGTTTGTTAACATTCTCATCATTATGATCAAGTCTGGCCTACTGGGTGGCCTACATAGAAATCACTACTACTTGACCTTTGATTGACAAGCCCAGCTTAGGTCAGTTTTACTGACCTGTATACAGTCTAATCAACTTGACTTATGGCAGACCTTTACACTGTTCAAAGATTAGGTCACGTTTTTTTATCATCTTCACTGGTTCTGCGCTTTGGCTTTGTTGAAACTTTCCCATAGGGTCTAAACTGTGAAGATGCTATCATGTGCATTGATAAAGCTGTAGCCCTATATAGGCCCCCTACTGTATGTGATCTGTATGATATGTAGGCAGTTACAAAACTATGACTTTTTCGACTCTGCAACTTACAGTATAGAGTGGTTAACCAGTTCATGTTCAAATTAAACCTCTGCTCCTTCATACTTTTAAAATCCAAATTCCAAAGCAATTTTTTTTTAAAATCTGTTAGTAGGGCCTTATTAAGGACTGGTGTTTGAGTTAGATTTGCCGTATGCTCTGGGAATCGCGTTATCCTTTAAGCATGAAGAATGAGTTGAGATTTCACAAAAATTAAAAAAAACTGTTAAAAAGTCAACATTGCTCCCAAGGATAATTTATTTGTTAGAAGGTTAGGGTGCAACTGATCCCTGAGGAAGCAACTGCCTTTCGCCCAAGTCACTGTTTGAAAGAGAAAAAAAAGTAACACGCTTTTGTATCCAGTTATGAGCACTGTGGAGCTCTACAATTTAGACAATTTTCAAATGTTGCACGGTTCTTGAACGTCCCGCGCACCGCCCGGTGGCCAAGGTCATGCTGCTCACCGCTCGTGAAGTCGGGCGCTGGCTCCGACTCTGAGTTGGAGGCAAAAAGACTTATCTACAGGAGTAATTTGCATCGTAGATTAAGCACGCACTTTGGATTCTGGGATCGCGAAAGGAGCTAGCTATCATCAACAACACAAGCTTTCACTTTCAGGGACTCCTGCTCATGAATAATTATTCCACTTCTGAATTGGCCTTTTTTCCGGG